CCAAAGCCATGTGTGTTGTCAGAGAGAGAGACAGTGAGAGGGAAAGGGAGAAATCAACCCCTGGGCAGGGGGATAACCATGTACCAATCCCTTCTTCTCCCAGGATTTTGGGTATACGCACACGTGCTCAGCATGATTTTCAAGCCTCTGGTTCTGGGACTTGAACTGCAATTGGCAATATGAGATTTCAGCACCATAAACACTATACTACCTGCTGGTCCCTCTTAGGCCTTCTTTTCATCCGTGCTTTGAAGGCAACTGCAAATTATAGGACTACAGGGTTTACTATGTTTTTTTGTTGTTGTTGTCTAGGCAGGTACAAAGGGTAAAGATGTGAAAAGGAAAATGATGAAACAATTGATTCTTCCAATCTTCGAAACTTAAATTTCTTGGCTTTTAAGAATGTATGAAGAACATGTTGGTAAGAAGTATCACTGCAAGGGGCTCCAAAGAATGTTTTCTAAAATAACCCATGGAACCACAGCTGGAAAGGACTTGAGAATCAACAACTAGTCCAGCTTCCTCACTTTTTTTGTCTGAGGAAACTGCACCACAGTTGGGACTGGGAAAGTAGCGAGTCACTCAGCATAGTGATCATGTCGATGACTATGTTTTCAAAGCCTCATGGAAACCCCAATTTTGCCTTAATGAAGTCATTGTGATGCATATTCATGTATTTAAGGAATTGAAAGTAATATTTCCCCTTGGATAACTAATTTTTCAAGCAGATTTGCTAAGGCACACTAGAAGAAATGTGAAAATTTAGTTCTACAAGGGGAAATATTACTAACATACACATTCATTTCCTACATTTTTGATAGCCTTTTACATTTCTTTCACTTTCAATTCCTTAAATACATAAATACGAATCACATTATCTAAGGTCAATCTCATTTACAAAGAGCTTAATTAAGAAATGATAATGGGGGACCAGCAGATGGCATAATGGTTACATTGCTGGACTCCCATATAGTTGACCGCAGTTTGAGTCTTGGACCCAGCGACTTAAAACTCATGCTGGGTGCATGTGTATGTGTGCTCAAAAATCCCTGGAGGATGAAGCAAAAGGGATTGAGGCATGATTTCTCACTTTCTGTCTATCTCTCTGGTACATGCCTTACAGAAAAAAATCTTTTTTAGAAGAATTATTTTATTTAACTTTATTTATTTATTTAAATTTGACCAGAGAGGGACAGAGTGAGTGAGTGAGAATGAGAGTGAAAGAGAGAGAGAGAGAGAGAAAGCAAGACACCAGGTGGGACTCAAACCATGGTCAGCCATGTGGGAGTCCAGTGGCCTTAACCACCATGCCACCTGCGAGCCCCGCAAAATCTCTTAACAAAAAAAAGGTAATAGTGAATTGGCACTTAAGACGTTGGTACGGTCTAGAAAATATCCTTAGAAAGTTGGGGAGACTCTCCTAACTAATTTTATATTAACAGTTGTCATGATTTGGATGAGACTTGGTAGTGAAATGTTACAGATGACTCATTCACTAAATCTTTTTTTTTTTTTCAATTTAATTTTGTTGTCAGTTTTGTTTGAATTTCCTGTTAAATTGCATTCTTAACATGACCTAGAGTCTACACAGGTTAGCATTAACTTACAATCATCATTCTTAGAACACTATCCCCACAGAGAGAATTTCAGCTAGAAGGCAATGCTTCCTGCTCACACCAAATTAATATTCCCAAGGCTTTTGAAGAAAACAATTCAGCTCATTCTCTGCTTTGCTACCACTAAACTTACTGTGAAATATTTATCAGCTCTGAAATCACAACCTCATCTCAGGAGTTTTAGCCTTGTAGTCTCAGACCTCCATCTTACTATGGTGACAAAAGCTATGTACGGTAACATGGGTCAATGGTGCATTGTGGGAGAAAAGAAACACTTAGCACCAGAACTGGCTGTGTACTCTTCAGATGTCTTACTTCTCCTGCTAACCATTCAAATGGGCAAGGAGGCTGTGGCTCAGAGATGTGTCTGACTTGGAAGAGTAAAACCGAGTCAATACTCTTGACTATGGACAGTGTCTGTGCTAGCCAGTGCTCCCTTTGGGCACAAAAATATTTTTCCACGTGAGTCAGCCACGCATTTAGTGCTCAAGGGCTGACAGTTGTTATTAGTTGACTCTGGAGGGAAGAATAAAAGGAAAGCTAAGTTATTTAAGTCTTGAAGGAAAGAAAAGCATGCTTGCTTGAATATGACTATTCAAGGACAAGTAAGGGTTAAGTAGTCTCAGAGTCTCAGGGTCAGTACTCTTTCAGCAAACACTTATTGAATAGCTAATAATTTTCCTTTATTTCATGAACATATGTTTGCCCTTCCAACAAGGATTTAATGTGATTGAACTCTACTGTATCCCAAACTTTGTGCCAGATATTGAAAACACCATGAAGGGTAGAAAAAAGGCTTGGAATCCCCAGATTTCAAGTACTACAGAGAAAGAGAGAGGCCTTGGGATCTCTTGACAAAGACCTCCAGGGGTCCACTGGATTTCAAAGAGCAGGAACCCTGCATGATGGAAAAGACAAAATGGAGTCGAGGGCCTACTACGATGACAACTAAGCCTGTATTTAGAAGGGAACGTGCCAGTCATCCAGCCCAAATCCAATGTAAAGGTCCCTTTCAGACCAGCTGGGGTAGATGGTTATTTTAACTTTTGGACATTTGCAGCAACGAGAAATTTTACTCCTTGAGTCTGCCCCTCTTTAGAACAACTTAAAAAATATATTTATTTAATCTGTTATTATTTTAATTTGTATAGGGATGGGTGCTCACCAGAGAAAGAGAGAGAGAGAGAGAGAGAGAGAGAGAGAGAGAGGAGAGAGAAGGAAAGTGAGAAATCAAGCCACCAGGTCAGGGACTTAAACTGTAGCCAGTCGTGTGGAAATCCAGTACCTCAACCACCATACCATCTGCTGGCGACAGAGCAACTCTTATTATGAAATTTTTTCTTACTTTGAAGGAAGCGTCTTTCATCTATAAAGTTTCTCTTTGTTACTATTTTGCCCTTTGAAGCTGCACACGGTAAATCTAAATCCTCTTCCTTTTTATAACTAAACAGAAATTTCAAGGCAGCTATTATACCATCTCCTTGTTCTCTGCCTCCCTTTTCAGCTACATCTTCTGTTACATCTTCTGTTCTTTAGCAAGGTTGTTGCCCTGTTTCTTATATAATCACAACCATGGCTACCTGCCTGTGGATATAATCAATTTATTAATGCCTCTCTTAAAATATAGTCAGCAGATGGCATGAAGATTAGGGTGGCTGGATCCCACATGGCTGACAGCGAGGTTTGCATGAAGATTCTCATGACTTGAGAAACATGCCAGGCACATATGCATGCATGTCCAAAATCCCAAGAGTTCTCCTCTTGGGAGAAGAGAAATGGAGGAGAAGACTGCAGCATGGTCGCCCTCCTGGAGGGGTGATATCTCACTTTCTCACTCTCTCTTTGTCTCTCTCCAGTGGGCCAATGTGCCCTATAACAAAAACTAAAAAGAAAAAAAAAACGTAGTGCTCATAATTGAACCCAGCCCTCTTCCAGACATGGACTGACCAGTATAGTATGCAGGACTCCCTGACCTTCTGTTAACACAGGTCAAATACATTGAACTCCCATTCCCAAAGAAAATATTTCTATCAGGTCATTGGAAAAGTCATGACACATTTTTGCATAGAAAAATACATTGTGACTTTTCCGACGGTCCAATACATGAACTGCAGTGAAACCAGGCCTTCCCAGAACCTTTCCCATCAACACACAAGCACACACATATGCACACTCCACTCTGACCTTAGAAGAGGGTCACATTTAAAAATCCAGAACACAGTTTCTCGTTATCAGATATTCAGTCTCATTCTTTCAGTTTCAGTGCTGCATTCAGATATTTAATGCATTGTATTGACGTCTATATCCTAGTGTCAGTACATACCAGTATTCAACAAATGTCCATAGAATAAATTAATCTTGAATCTCTCAGCCAAACGCTGGAGATATTGTCTATTTTTGCACTTACCAAAAATCTCCCTTTTTTTCTACCTTCCATGGGAAAAAACACAAGGTACGAATAAGCAGAAGTGAGCAGGGATGAATGAAGGAAAAGAGGACTGAAGGTCCCAAACCTTTGAAATCAGAATCTGAGGATTCCCAAGCTTAGAACAATATGACTTCCCCTCATCTCTACTTGGGAGTCTCCTGCCTTTTCAACTCTCATGACACTATGGTTACTACACTCTGAATGGGTGGGAAAGCTCATTCAAATCTTAGTTTTAAAACAGCTTCTAAAATAACTTTTTCAGTTTAAATTTCCTATAAAGTTTGAGTTATAACATGCAACTTTCTATTGATATAGACAAGTATAAAAAGAGCTCCAGAATGCCTATGACAAATGTCTGATGTGTATCTATTTGTCTATATCTATATGGAGATAGACAGATAGACAGATCCATTTGTTTCAGTAATCAGTACTTTTCACTGTGAATTTAGAAATTCACTGAGACTGAATCTGTCTCCGGAATTAAATATAGTTTTATATTTACTTTCCCTTTTCTCCAAAATGAAAAAAAAAAAAAAGTTCAATTTTGCTTTTCCTTCAGTAGCCGCCCTTTTGCAGAATGCAGTCTAATTACAGCATAAAAAAGTACCCTCTCCATTGTCTATTGTAACTCAGGATAGAAAAGCCTCGAGGCTGAAACCGAGAGAGATGGAAAGTATTTCAATCTACACAATCTAGAACCAGGAGGGAAAGGTCTTAAAAACTGTTGCATAGTGTTAGCACTTAAAGTTTGGAGACACTTAGAAAAGTTGTAGCAGACCCAAACAGGAAATTTGTTTTGCACCTTTTCTGAACCTTTTCTAGAGAGAATGACAAATGAACATCAAAAGGAAATTGTGCCAATATGGGGGGGGGGTTGTGATTTTCAAAACAGCCACAACACACACCACATACCAGCGCTGTGAGATAAGCAGAGACAAGACAAGGAGGCTTAATTATACAGTAAACTCCAAAAGTCAGGTGAACCGCGTGCTTCAGATGTGATCAGAATCAACAAGTCTCTCCAAAGCAACCAAACCGGGGTGACCTGTTAAAATGCAGGTAACCAAGAACAGAAGGTCGATACGCTGCTCCTAACATGGAGTGGTCACAGCAGGGGTTGACTGGAACTTCAGCTATTCAGGAAGACTCTCTCATGTCTCTCAGGTTAGGAATCCCCTTGCTGCAGGGCTTTGTCACTGTATCCCACACTCCTTGGGATTCTCCATTTCATCTCCTTCCAAGTCTGGTTTCAAACTCTTTTTCTGCTCAATTTCCACCTGCCAAGAATAGAGGTGGGAGATGTATATCAGAAAGGAGAAAAGGATGCAAACAAATGAATAAACTGAAGGAGAATATCTCGGGAGGCTTTTTGAGATTCTTGGAATTTTGCTCATGTTTGGGCTTTGGCCACATTTGGAGCTGTTGGCCTTGAGTATATTATGCCTCTTTGTCTGGAATGATCATTCTTCACAAGGAGAATTTTCCAGGTGGAAAAATTGTCTTGCACAGCCACTCAAAGGTCACCTCTTCCACAAAGCTACTCTTGAATCACTAAGTAGATTTAGGTGCTTCCCCTGTGAATACTTGCACCGTACGATTGTCTGGGTTCACTATACAGTATGTCCCCCACCCCCGGACAGGAAATGGATCTTGTTCATTATCTTATCCAATAATATAGGCAGTTGACAAAGTGTATCAATTCTTTTGGAACTGATTGTATACTCAATACTTTAAGAAAGCCTTTAAATTGATAATTATAGGTGTGTTTATAATTCTTACCATGTCATCTGTAAAAACACTGTAGCTATAATTATAAAGGGACTACTAAATGAATCTTGCCTTGAAAGTGATACACCTCACCCGAAGCCTTTGATAAATCAGGCAGGGAATCCTTGAGCTGAGGGATTGCATGATTAAGGCTGCTAGTACCATTTTGGGTATTTATGATGTTTTATTTAGAGGGTAAAAATTCAAGATAGAGCTGTTGAGTAGGTCATGTTGGAAGAAAGTGCTTTTTTTTTTCCTGGCCACAAGAGGGAGGTCTTTCAGTTCTTTTTGGTAGTTAAATGTTTCAGACTACACAACTAAGGAAACATTTAGAGGACAATAAATCACCATAGAAACCTGATGAGACTTTTATGAATACAGTATTATTAAAGCACTTTTCAAAATCCTTCTTCAGTAAACTCCCACCTTTTCAAGCTTTAGCATTTAATCTTCTATTGAATTTCAAACTCTTCAGGATATTACTGCTTTCTGTTTATGCCAGAAAAGTCTGACTTTTATTCCTTCCACAGCCCTGACCTTGTTACTATTAGAGAAGTTTCCTTGGCTTTTGAGTGTTGTCCTGTTACAGCCCAGTGCCCACTTCATCAGCCGTTGTAGCTGAAATTCTGTAAATTATATTACAAATGAATAATAATAATAATCAGATTATCCCATTTCTTTTTGTTGTTATGATGACAGACATTACAGTCTCCTTTTTCAACAGGCTTTATTTTTTTCCCAACCTTTCTTTTGCCCATGAGGGAAATTATTCACTTAGAACAGTCATCCACAGCTTTGTACTAAGGCGGGAAGAGGATACCTTGTACCATGATAGACATGACTAAAAAGACTAAGAGCAGGGAGTCTAGTGGGTGAACAAATGGACTTGGAACATTAGCCAGACGCCTCCTGGGGCTACCTTGTAGCTGTAGTGCGCGGAATAATTGACCCACTTCCTGACGTCAGTCTTGTCTTCCACAGAGATGGATCTCACAGCAGCTTTAGAGGCAGAAGTTGTAGGCATGCTGAACTCAACATCCACGTGACTGGCAAATCTGGAAGGCACTTCCCGGTCAGAGCCAAGTTCAAGGTGGCAGAAGAAACAGTGTGGGTGACCAGAAGCTACCAAAGAAAGAGAGTCAGAGATCAGGTTTTTGGAGGAAAAGAAGAAGTAAAAGAAACCTCATCAGAGGCCAGGACCAGAAGCTACCAAAGAAAGAGAGTCAGAGGTCAGGGTTTTGGAGGAAAAGAAGAAGTAAAAGAAGCCTCATCAGAGGCCAAGTGGTGGCTCAGTGGTAAGGCAAATGGACTCACATGGGGAAGGCCCTGGGGTCACGTCCTGGGAGCTCTAGGAGCACGCATGATAGGTGTACATGTGTGCACGCCTACGCTCTAGGCTGGGTGAGACTGGGGGTGGACTGGAGAATTAAGACCCAAGAGGGTGTCTCTCTTTTTCTGTTTCATGGAATAAATAAATAAATAAACATAAAACAACAGCAAAGCAGCAGCCACATCTATAACAAAGGAAGCCTGCAAGCTCTGCACCTGGCAGCTTTTCAGAGGGTCTGGTGCCGAGCAGAGGATCTGCCTCAGCAGAAATCCCTCTGTATGCCTCAGACTCTACGACATAACAGCCTCTGATTACAGCAGCCTGGTATCCTAGCAATAAAACCCAGGCCCTGGGAAACAGGGGTCACTCTGCCTGCTCAGGTCAGGGTGATATGTGGACATGGCACAAATACTAAGAAAGAGGAGTGGTGGATTGGAAGAATGGAATAAAAAGGATTAGCATTTAGCATCTAATAAAACATCAGTGCCAGCCACATAGCACATAATCACTACTTTCCCCTGAAAGTTGATTATTTTTTTTAATATAGATTTTTGCTATAGGGGACCATGTATGCGCACTGGACAGAGACAGAGAAAGAGAGAAATCTCCCACTGGGGGAATGGCCATGTTGCAGTCCCTTCTCCTCCATTCTTCTCTTGGGATTTTGAACATGCACACACACACACTCACCTGGCGTCAGTTTTAAGCAGCCAAGTCTGGGACTCAGACCACAGCCAGCCATCTGGGAGTCCAGTGCTTTACCACTACATCAACTGCTGGCCCTGAATGGCATGTTCTTAATAGCATTTCGTATTTTCAAGAATGCTTTAGGCAGGGACCAGTAGTTAGTGTAATGGCTATGTCGCTGGACTCCCAAGTAGTCGACTGCGGTTCAAGTCCCAGATCCGGTGGCTTAAACTCATACTGGGCGTGTGTGCGTGTGTGCCCAAGATCCGGTGAGGACAATGGAGGAGAAGGGATTGCAGCGTGATCATTCCCCCTGGGGGTGTCGCCGTGGGGGTTGGGGGGTGATTTCTCACTGTCTCTCTCTCTCTCTCTGTCCTTCTGGTGGGTGCACGTGCACTATAGCAAAAACCTCTCCAAAAAAAAAAAAATGCTTTAGGCGTATTTCTGAGGTGGGGATGACGAAGTCCTTCTACACATCACGTGTGTATTAATGAAGCGTAGGTACACTGTGCAGACCATGGGAGTAACAGAACACTTGGACTTATCTTGCAGTTCTAAGCTGCAGATAACCTTCACCAAGGCCTCTGTTCTCTCAGGCCTCAGTTCCTCACCTGTAAAGTGTGGAGACTGGGGCAGAGGGGTGGAGAGGTAGAAAAGGGTGGGTTGGACAATGCTAAGCAAGCACTTGAATTAGGTAAATCTATGTTTGATTCTACTGTACTTGCATAGCAAATTTGAAGTTGATTTCCATTTCACAATTATTAGATTTTCTGGTTTTTTTTTTTTTTTTGCTAGAGGGTGTATGTGCTCACCAGAGAGAGAGAGAGAGGAGGCGGGGGGAGAAAGCATTCCCCATGGGGAATGGTGATGCTACAATTCTTTCTCCTCCATATCTCTCTTTTCTTCTCAGGATTTTGGGTACATATGCACACGTGACTCAGACCATAAGGTTGGCCATGTGGGATTCCGCTGCCTTAACCACCAGGCCACAGAGCCAGACTGAGAGTTATTGGATTTTCAAGTACAAAGTGTTAAGGCTGGCTTACGTCTGCGAGTATAACCACGGGGCATCATCATCATCCGTGTTATGTAGCAGGAAACCTTCGCTGAGCACCCTGCACCTGGTACTAGGCTCAATGTTTTACCCACTCTCTTGTCTAGTCTTCATAGCAATCTCTTGAGGTTGAAACCTCATCTTCGGCTTAGAAGTAAGGAAACTAAAGCTGTGGGAGGTCAAGTGAGCTGTCCAAAGTCCCAGCTAGAAAGTGGCAGAGCTAAGGATGGAAAGAGCAGTCCTACCCCAGGGTGCTCGTAACCTCTTTGTCTGAGTCACAACCTCTGGGTCTTCAAAACTCAAGACCAGGTTTCCAGGGTGACAGGGCTGGAGAAGTCAGCTGTTAAGAACCCCCACACAACAACTAGGCATGAACAAAATATTGTAACTGAAACAGACTCTTAGTTATACCAGTTCTCCCAAACAAACAATCACAATTTTCTTTATTGGTCTGGGTAGGACTTTTTAATCTCAGAGAATGAGGACATACACACCCGCCCGCTCTCCAAGGAAAACACTGCAGAATGAAGTATTTGTTTTGCTCTGTTTCACAAACGTAACATATTTCAATGGTTATTTCTAAATTGTAACACTCTGGGAAACTGACAATTTTGCGCTGGCTTTTAGGAAAGGAATTTAATTAAGACACATATCATAGTGAAAATTACTTATCTTTTTAAAAGTTTTTGCCATAGGGTGCGTGCGCTCACTGGGGGGGAGGGGGTAGAGAGAGAGAGAGAGAAATCACTCCTTAGAAGAGATGGCCACGCCACAGTCCCCTCTCCTCCACTCTTCACTCGGGATTTTCGGCACACATACACGAGTGCCTGGAATAGTTTTCAGTCTGCTGGTTCTGGACTCAAATCATGGTTGGCCATGTAGGAGTCCAGCATTTTAAACACCACGCCACCTGCTGGCCCTCGAAAATTACATGATTTGAAAAATAAGTCCATTTAATATTTTTAAAAATAGTGCACCACATCTGTAATTATATACTTATCATTTATTGGACATTTAAAACTTTTTGTATTTATTATTCTTACTAATTTTTGTATTTATTATTATTATTTTAATTTGATCAGAGAGAGCAAGAGAGGGAAAGTGAGAAAGCAAGCCTCCAGACCTAGGACTTGTACCATGGTTGACCATGCGGGAGTCCAGCGCCCCAACCACCATGCCACCTGCTGGCCCCATACTGGGCATTTAATATAGCCAGATACTAAACACTTACAAGCATTATCTAAGTTAATTCTGAATGAGCCAGATATTAATAACCTTATTTTATTTTTTTTTTTGGAGAGATTTTCACTGTAGGGCGCGTGCGCTCGCCAAACAGACAGAGAGAGACATAGAGACAGAAAGCGAGAAATCACCCCCCAGGGGGGATGGTCACGCCACAATCCCTTCTCCTCCGTTCTCCTCTCGGGATCTTGGGCACGCACGCACACGCGCCCGGCGTGAGTTTTAAGCCACCGGGTCCGGGACACGACCCGCGGTCGACTACGTGGGAGTCCAGCAACATAGCCATTACGCTAACTGCTGGTTCCCTTAATAACCCTATTTTAAAGATGAGAAAAATTAGGTTTCTCTGAGAGGGTAAGTAAATGGCCTGAGGTCACACAACTAATAAGTGGTAGAGTTGGGAATAAGATCAGATATTACTCTGACTCCAAACTATGGCCTAAATTCTTCTCAATACGTTGCTATGGAATTAGATCACTACCCCAACACAGGAGAGCCTCTGAATTTAATTCAATCGCAACTGTAACTGTCTTTATCTAATTATCTTTATTTGCGCATGGTTGGGATATTGTGAAATCATTTATTATTTTTTTTTTGAAACTGACTCCCTTCCTCAAAACATATTCATAGCAAACTTGGAGAGCAACATTTTTTCCTAGATTCTGAGCATCAGCAATTAGAGGTGCAGGCTGGTAGACAGGGAATGTAATTCTGAAAGCTGGTATGGTTTAATTCATGGTAATTAACTAAGCCCACACATTATGTCATCTTCCTTGATAAAGATGAAAAAATTTTAAATTAAAATTCAGATTTTTATTTTTCATAAGAGGCTGATCATACCGGTAGTTTTCTCTTGTACTGGTCTAATAAGAACTGGAATTCTCGTAAAGAAAGCTACTTACCAAGGAAGGATGAAATATGGCCGACCTATGAAAGCAACAGGACTTGTTCTAGTGTCTTCTAAGATAAACTCTTGCAATCAGGGTGAGAGGGGTCACTGGAGAGCTCAGAGAGGGGAGCTGTCCATGGGCAGGGCTTGAGTGGGAATCATGAGAATTCAAAGGAAGCTCTTGATCTCTTAGTGGCTGGGATCAGGACAAGCCTTCTGTGGTTGCTGGCTTGTGAGGCCAGCAGATACAGGGTGCTGACTTGCTAGACCACAAAGCTACCGAGGCCTGAGGATACAGGGAGTGGGCAGGCATGGAGTCAGGACTCTTTGCAGGATGGGTCTCTTGACCTTGGCTGGGCCCTACTAGCTTCCTTCACTGTGAATGGGAGGTGTAAGTGTATAAAAAATAACCTTATCACAGCTGTCTGAAGAGCTCAGAGAGGACTGTTAGTACTTGATCACCATCACTTCTCAGGTTTCAGAGACCGAGCACTGAATGGGAAGACAAAAGCCGGAATGGGATTCCAGCAATGGGGAAGCCTCTGCAGGCTGACTGGACATCTTCTGCATATCTCCAGTTTCCAGAAAAGGGTGCTATCAATTCCCCAAACTGTCACGGAAACATTACTGGCCAGAGGAAATACAGGAAGCCACTTTCTGGTGTTTTGCATCTTAAAAATATTACATACTACGACAGCAGAAGCAGTACTGGGGACTGGGGGTTTAAGTAAGAAACATCTCTAAGTCTCCTTATGCAACCCTGTATTTCAAAACTCCTCCACACAGGAGGTTCCAGTACTCTGGACACATATATGTAACAGATAAGCTGCATTTACTTGGCCTGGAGCCCATGCAGCACTCTTGGCTGGGAAGCATTAAGGAAAGTGTTTGCTGAAGTCCTGTTTATTTCCCCCAGTCTATGTCTGCCCCACCCCCGTTCTCTCTGGCAGTAATCTGTTTCTTTCTCTCCCTTTGGGAAATCATCTTCCCTAGCACTACATGTCATCTTGATGGTTGTGTCCATCAAAATGCACTGCCCTCCCTTCCCTCGACTCTTGAGCCAGATGGTACCCAGGCAGAAGATGATATGTGATGATCTGTCATGGCTACACCCCAAGGAGACATCCCCTAGTTTCTATTTTTAGAGCTGTGATTTGGGTCTCTTTTTGTTTTTGCTTAAGGTAGCCAGTTAGTCTGTGTTGCTTATACCCTCAAGCTTCTCATACAGTACTTCTAAATATTTAAGAAAAATAACTTATGTTGGTACGTGCTGGGAAAAGCTCTGTTCTTATGGTGGAAATTATTTTACATTTGTGTCTATTTGGTCTTATCTACTAAGAGGCCGCTGTGATACTAAGCCCCCGGGATGTAACTGTGTAACTTCCGCTGAGACATGTCACTTCCTAGGCCTTCATTTTCTCATCTGTAAGTGGAAGAGGTTTGATTAAGTTATCCCCAAGTTTTTTTTTTTTTGCTTGTTTGTTTGTTTTTTTAGCCTGCTTGCAAATACAACAAATCACAGTTCTCTCTTCCCTAGGGCTTCTGGACCAAGGGAAAACTCAGGATTTCTCCTTTGCACTGTCATGTCAGATGGACTCCGTGGCTGAGGTTGAAATCACGGCACTACTACCAGAATACAACACTGACTTCCGGGGAAATGAATAAGCTGGCACAGAGAGGAAGACTTTGTTTTAAAAATTCTGTCAGTTTAGAAACAGGGGGTAACATACCCAGCCACCAACACAGAGGTCTAATTGTCTCTGCAGTTTGCGCAGCTACACCCAGTGTCTGACACAGAAGGCCCTGGTGAGCGTCCACTCCCTGCACTGCCTGGGGAATTGACAGCTAGAACTGCCTCCTGCCACCCCATCGTTTTAGGTTTAGGACATGGTGACACAGCTGGTTCACATTCAGACCAGGTGAGGGGGACTCTGAACTCACAGCTAGGATTTAATAGTGAGAAAGAGAAAAAGGAGAGCCATGTAAGAGAAAGATATTTCAACCAAGAATTTTTTCCACATCTTACTCTTTTTGCCCAGCTGGTATATCCACTTTTGTTAACAGATGGACAAAACTCACTATAAACCAGAAGAGAGCTGGGTTAATGGCCATAGGATCATGAATTTATTGCTGGCCATTGGAGTCACCCAGACTGACTATAGAAAACGAGGCTCTTAGGCCTCAGTCTAGTGGTTAAGGAAGCTGGATCTCATATGGCTGACCACAGTGGCTTGAAAAACACATGGTATGTTGTGTATGCCCCCAAACCCCAACGGAATGTAGAAATGAAGAAGGGATTGCAGTGTAACCATGCCCCATTAGGGGGTGCTTTCCCCCTCTCTGTCTCTCTCTCTGGCAAGCACACATGTCCTCTGGCAATTAAATAAAGAAAAGAAAGAAAAGAAGCTCTTAGAGCTGATTTGATTGTTCTCTACTCTTGTCTTTTCACTAAATCTCACTGGACCATGAGCAAAGTAGTTGCCTTCTGGGCTCACTCAAACACAAAAGCATCTCTGATAGCTGTGTGCAGTCCAGCTAGGGCTGGTAAGCTTTTTTTGTTGTTGTTTAAATCAGACATTGCTTCCTTTACTTTCTGTCTGATAGGATTTCAGACCTTTTGGAGCTTTGTATTCTGACTGGATCTCCAGTCTGATCAAAGGTCACTTCTCATTCCCATCTCCAAGTCCCAGGGTGGAACTCTGAGCCCCAGATGCCATGGCTGTCGGGCCTCACACAAAGGGGCAGGAGTCATAAATCTGACTCCTCATGTATGTGGTACACACGATTGGCCATAAATTGGCCCTTTCATTCAGGGTACAGTTACAAAGATGCCTCCTCAGGATCTGGAAATGGCATCACCGATAATATTTTAATGAGTCCCACTGATGAGTTCCTTTATAAAAAGAATAAAAATTTAGAATAAGAACAAGAAGAAAAAAAAATAGCAGCTCACCTGAGTGGAATAATACAAGTTTATGGGAGATGTGTGATAATAAGTGGATAAAAAGATAAAGTGAACCAGGTCATTATATTCATTATGTACTTTGCTCAAATATCATTTTTTTTCCTGGTTGCATTCCCCCTCTTTGACCATCCCTACCTCACACCAAATACATGCCCTTCATACAGGATGTGAACACTGATTTCTGTTCTTTCCCCAAAATGTGGTTGTTTTACATATGAGAAACCACCACCTACCTGAGTTTTTGTCAGGCAGCCGGTTTATCCTCCATACAATGGAATTGAAGGCATGCTCGTACTTGGCAGTTCCCAGAGTTACTCTCATGACAGGCTCAGAGCCAGAGACACTAGTCGAGCCAAAACTTGCCCCGCGGTTCACTTTGGCTTTCAAAGACTTTTCCCCTAGGACACTTTCCCTGCGGAAGTTTTTCACCCATTCACTGGGCACAGGGTAACGGACCATCACATTCTCACAGGGAACCTGAGTGAGGGGGTCACGATTGGAGGAGAAGCCGGGTGACATTCTCAGCCAGCTCTGCACCTCCACCTCTGCCCCATTGATGCTTGCTGCCGTCCTGAGTGTGAAAGGCAAGGTCTTCTCAGCAAACACTGTCCTGAATCGCATCAGCTCAAATCGGCATGCATCCAAAGGGTTGAAGAGAATAACCCGGGAGCTGTTGAATACATCCTCATCCACACAACCATGAAAATGGCACTCATGGAGCTTGATCCACTTGGTGGTGGTGGTGGGCATGATGTCCTGCCGTGAAACAATTTCATTCCCTTTGACGAGGACATCATTGAGACCCAAACGGCACTCTGCAAGCCCAGAGAGGAAAGTCAGCACGTGGATTCGTGTTAAGATATGGTGTTGGAGAACATGGTTGTCTCCTTTGCTCACAATACCAGAGAATTCATCTCTGACATCCACTGTGATCTCCTCTTCAATGTAGTTCAAGCCAACTGTGCTCAAGTCCATTGACAACACTGGCAGATCCATGAGCTGGTCCTGAACTGCACGGATGAAGCTCAAGAAGTCATCATAGTTGGTGGTGCCCAGCTTAATCACTTGTTCTCTCTCTGCTGTGTGGGCCACAGCAGGTTTTGGCTGGTATTTCTTCTTCTCCTTGTAGGTAACACGGTCTATCCGTAAGCTGTGGATTCTGCCATTCTCATCATAGTTTTGAAGCCGGGGTTCTGAAATCTCATGGCAGGTCTCCAGCTTAAACTCACGGAATGGTTTCTCTAGGCCCTGCTCATAATACAGTTGCAAGAAACCACTGTCTGTCAGTTTGATGTAAATTGGTCCCCAGTGCCTGGAAGACATTATATTTTTCTTCTCAGGGATCCTCAGCATCATTGGCCACCCTTCCCTAGTCTGGGCTCGTGCTGACCCAGCTGGGTGAGCATCTAGTTCAATCCAGGCTATTGGGTCATCGTCAGGCAATGTCACACTGCCGAAGTGATCAGGATCATCAATGTGGAGCTGTTTGAGTTTTTCAACAGCATCAGAGTGTGACTGGCTTTTGCTTGAATCATCAAAACTGATGGCATCCTGGTAGATGACAATGAGGGAATCTCTTTGGCTCTTGCCCGTAGCACTGGAACTGTTTTGGGAACGCCTCTCCTGTTCCTCAAAGAAAGCACTGAAAGGATTGATAGGAGAGGGCTGTACATCCTGCAGAGTCTCATTCAGGAAAGGATTGGTCGCTCTCCAAGGTGGAGTCTCAGTTACGGAAGGTGGACGATTTAGAGAGGAAATGTCCAGCTTCTGAACTTTGGAGAAGTTCATCAAAGTGCTCTTGGGACGGTCCCTCTTCTTGAATGAACCAGTTGAGTTATAAGATACATCTGGGGCCACAGGTGTAATTGGTGCTGTATTTGGTTTCAGAGGAGAGGTGATGGGTGGTAGAGGGCAGCTGACTTCATTGTCATCAAAAGTGACCCAGCTGGGGAAACGAACAGAGGTCACTGTGGGGGCAGGGTGCCCATTCATGGTTGGACTGCTTGCCTGCCAACTGATGGCCTCCATTTCTACTTCTTCATCTTCCTGGAGTGAGGAAGAATTGTCTAAAAGGAAAAAGAGAACATGTGAGGAATGTCATTCATGAAACAAGTATGGGAATAAGGGTTTGTTAGAATTTTCTAGAATCTGGGACCAACAGATGGTGTAATGGTTATGTTGCTGGACTCCCACACAGTTGACCGCAATTCAAGTCCTGGACCCAGTGGCTTAAAACTCACACCAGGCCTGTGTGCATGCATGCCCAATATCTACAGAAAATAAAACTCTTAAAAATAAAGGAAGACAGAAATTTCTAGAATCTAGTAAATTCCAAAAAGTTATCTCAAGTGCTTAGTCTGTGCACAAATACCACAATTTGGTAATAAGCATACCAGAGGGGCCATCATGTAAAATGCAGTAAGAATACTATGGCTCTCTCTACACAGAAGCACTGACTAGCATGTTCCTTGTAATTTAACTCTATATATACTTTTTATTTTATAGACATTTCTGGAATGTATTTTATAGATATTTTCTGTTCTTAGCTCTAAGGTATATATTCTTAATTTTTAAACATGGAAAACCACCTCCAATAGAAAATGATGGAAGTAGATCTCATTAAAAAAAAAACATATTTTCTATAAATGATAATATGACTGTAAGTAAAATATTTGGAGGAATTTTCAGTCCAAATATGGTCAATAAATAAAGACAAAATGTTCATATCTTTAATATATAATAAATTCATACAGGTGAATAATAAAAACACAAAAAATGCCAGTAGACATATGGACAAAGGGCATGAACAGTTAAGTCAAGGAAAAGAAACTTAAAAATGTCTAATAAATGTGAAAAATATTCAGGATGATTTATAAGTTTTTAGTAAAGGTGCCATGATAGGGGACACTAAATAGACCCTTAAGGAGACTAATTGCCACAAATGATCTGAAAAGTAGCTTAGCACTCTCTCTCTCTCTCTCTCTCTCTCTCTCTTGCTCTCTCTTTTTCTTTTTAAGCTTTTTGCCATAGAGTGCATAGTATCTGGCAAGTATATGCACCCTGTGGCAAAAACTTGAAAAAGAAATTAAAATTACTTTTTTTCCATATGGATAATGGGTTATTTCAGCACATTTTATTAAACTTTTCCTTTCTCATCCTTTCTATGACACCTTTGTCAAAACTCAAATGACTGAATATGTATGTGTGTACTTCTAGACTCCCCTTTCTGTCTCATTAATACTGCCTTAACTGCTGCAATTTATAGTAACTCTTGAAATTTGGTAATGTAAATCCTCCAACTTTTTTTTTCTTTTTTTGGAGAGGTTTTTGCTATAGGGCACGTGCACTCACCAGACAGACAGAGAGAGACAGAGAGGCAGAAAGCGAGAAATCACTCCCCAGAGGGGATGGCCAGGCCGCAATCCCTTCTCCTCCATTCTCCTCCCGGGATCTTGGGCACACACACACAAGCGCCCGGCATGAGTTTAAGCCACCAGGTCTGAGACTTGAACCATAGTCGACTATGTGGGAGTCCAGCGACATAGCTATTATGCTAACTGCTGGTCCCCAAACATTTTTTTTTTTAAAGATCATCTTAGATATTACCAGGCTTTGGCAAAAATTACAAAGTTAAGAAAAATAAACCAGAGGATTTTGATTAGAATTATATTGATTCTATAGATCAATTTCAGAAAATTTTCCATCTAAACAATTAAAATTTTTTTTTTTTAGGTTTTTGCCGTAGGATGCATGTGTTTGTTGGAGAGAAATAAAGAAGGAAATTGAAAGTCACTCCCTAGGAGGGTGGCCACACTGCAGTCCCTTCTTCTCCATTCTCCTCTCAGGATTTGGGGCACACACGTACACACATGTGGCATAATTTTCAAGCTATGGGTCTGGGACTCAAACTGTTAAGGCACTCAAATTCAGTGTTGTAACCACTATGTCACCTGCTGGCCCCGTCTCCTTCACCCCCCCCCCTTTTGTTTTTAAATAAAAAGAATATCTTCCCTTACAAGTGCCTTTTCAATTTTTTTTTGAGAGATTTCTTCTATAGGATGCATGCACTTGTTGAGAGACAGAAAGAAAAAGCAAGAAATCACCACCTGCGGGGTGGGGAGGGGGGAATGGCCATGCTACAGTCCCTTCTCCTCCATTTTTCTTAAGATATTGGGCGCACACACACACACACACACTCCCAGCATGATTTTTAAGCTGCCAGGTCTAGGACTTGAACTGTGATCAACTATGTGAGAGTCCAGCAACATAACAATTATGTCATCTGCTGGTCCCACATTTTCTGTTTAAAAAAAAAATTCTTTAACTTTATTTATTATTATTATTTTCCAGTTTGATCAGAGATAGACAGAGAGAGGGAAAGTGAGAAAGCAAGTCACCAGGTCTAGGACTTGAACCGCAGTCAGTCATGTGGAGTCCAGCATCTTTTATTATTTTTTAAATTATTTATTTTAATTATTCATTCATTTATTTAAATTTTACCAGAGAGAGACAGAGAGAAAGAAAGAAAGAAAGAGAAAGAGAGCAAGAAAGCAAGCCATCAGGTCAAAAACTTGAACCGTGGTCGACTATGTGGGAGTCTCCAGCATCTTAACCACTTCAGCACCTGCTGGTCCCAAGTCCAGCATCTTTAACCACTATGCCATCTGCCGGTTTCCCACTTTAAAAAAAAATTTTTTTTAAATAATTATTTATTCGATTTATTATTTTTTTTTCACATGAGTTTTGCCAGAGAGGAGGGAGGGAGGGAGGGAAGGAGGGAAGGAGGGAGAGAGAAAGCAAGCCACCAGGTCCACGATTTGAACTACAGTCAGCCATGTGGAAATTCCAGTGCCCCAACTACCATGCCACCTGCTGCTGGCTTCCCAACCTTTACAATTAAAAAAAATTTTTTGTTATTGAGTTGTTTTTTTTTTTTTGGTGGGGAAAATGGGAAGAAGGATGAAGGAACAGCACAAAAAACATGTCCGCAATGTAGTAGGGACATAGAAAAGATGTGCTGATTAAATAAGTGAGAAAAGAAACTGCTTAGAGTAGTTTTTCCATTCTCTGTCTCTGAACGAATGAGTCTGGAGAGCTCTGCCATCAACCAAAACGCTGTTTCCACTGCCAGTCATTTGGAATCAAAGGGAAATGGATACACAGATGGTTGAGTTTTTTAACTGCCTTGCTGACTTTCACGCATGTCATACCCAGCCATCTCAAATCAGCAATGCCATGCATAATTACGCATGTAACGATACATGCATGGAATGGTTTGCTTGTCATAGATCTTCCCACGTAATTTACTCAAACAGATAGAAATTCCCTCAACTGAAAACATTAATTTGAATATGTAAGTTAAACACATGAATATGCATATACACAGATCCATACCCATTCCAGAAATATAATAAACAAAATGTATTTTCTGTATATACAGCACCATTTTATTATTATTATTTTAGAGAGAGTTTTTTGCTATAGGGTGCATATACTCACTGGAGAGACAGAAGTAGACAGACACACAGAAAATAAGAAATCATCCCCAAGAGGGATAGCCATGCTGCAATCCCTTCTTTGGCCTCCTCTTGAGTATTGGGCATGCATGCACATATACCCACTGTGAGTTTCAAGCTGCCAGGTCAGGGACTTGAACCATGGTTGCCCATGTAGCAGTCCAGAAATGTAACCACTACACCATCTGCTGGTCCATAATTATTTTATTTTACTCATTATTATTATTATTATTATTATTATTATTATTATTTAGTTTGGCCAGAGAGAGACAGAGAGCATGAGAGAGAGGGAAAGTGAGAAAGCAAGCCACTAGGTCAAAGACTCGAACTGTGGAGAGCCATGTGGGAGTCCAGCACCCCAACCACCACGTCACCTGCTGGCCCCATGTAGAAGTATTTTAAAATTAAAGATGAGGGCCCAATCATGGTGGTACACAGGTAGCACCACCTCTTGGGAGGCTGGAAGCCATATGGGAGAAATAAGTTCAGTTTCTGGGTCAACCTGAACAATCCAGGCATGGCTGCACATGCTTGTAATCTAACTAATCGGGAGACTGGAGCAGGAGGATCATAACACAGCAAGTTCCTATCAAAAATGCCTCTCCTGGATCAGCAGGCGGCATGGAGGTTAAGACATTGAGTCCCATGTGGCGGCCTGTGTGGTTCAAATCCTGGACTGAGCAGTTTGAAAACCATGCTGGGCACATGTGCCTGTATGCCCAAAATTCTAACAGGAGAATAGAGAAGGGACTGTGTTATGGCCAACCCCCACCCCCGGGGGGGATTTCTCTCGCTTTTTCTCTCTGGTGAGCATGCATGCCCTATCGCAAAACATTTAAAAAAAAAAAAAAAGCTATCTTTGTATCTCTACTCTCTTTCCCAAAGGAAAAAAATGAAATTAAAGATGCGAATCTCTTTCAGAGAAACTGTGAATCTACCTTTGTGCAGGTAAAAGCTACTTATTTTTTGGAAAAATGAATGGAAAGACTTATAGAATTTCTATTTATTATTATTACTTCTAGTTATTATTACAATTTTTATAGCTGTTATTATTTTGCTAACAAGGGCTAAAGGGAAGAGAGTCTATCTTGAAAGACATCCGTTTCTAATAAGGACACTCCGGACAGTTTTCATAGTGTAGTGTTTCCATGGTGGCAGTCTCTTATTAGCCCAACCCATGTATTAGGAATATCCTTTTTTGCCTTGGGGCTCATCGCCACTCCCTAGTTTAAAAAAGGCTGAAATACTTTGGCTTTGGAGAGTGGCTTTCTGTGAAAGCTGTTTATTCTTGCAGCCAAAGGATTCCCTTCTGCTGGGAATCTTGTCCCCAAAATAGCATTTCTCATCTTCTCCTCCTAAGCCAAAAAATTAGGGGGCAAAAAAGGCCTTTGTCACCACTAAAGATCAATAAACTTCTTTTCAAACTAAACTATTTAACATCATACCAAGTCCCAGATAGTTTGGATGGATTAGACTCATGACACAATTTAAATGAAGCATCCTTAAATTTGGAGGGAACATTTTAGAATTAAATATTTAGAAATTGTATT